CAATAAAAAAAATCTTTGTTATAATAAAGAAAAAAAATTTATTCTTGCTCTTTTTACTCAAATTATTGACTATCTGCTAAAATTAGTAAATAATAATTGAATCAAATTTCTTTCTTTAATTGATATATCAAATCATTAATAAGTAATTTAAAATATATTAATTTAAATGGTCTTTAATAATTGATTAAGGAGTTTATATATTTATTTATTTTTTCCTGCTAAGGAACCAAAACACACAATATATTTATCAATCACTCAGCTTTTCTTTTATACGTTTTTCTATTTTATTTGAAGATATCTCTCAGTTATTTCATTTAATAATCCTTTTAGTATATCAATTTTTTCTAGATAAGACAATTTCCAATCCATATTGAAAATATACTCATCATTCATCTTAACTTGATGTTCTTCACAAACCTTACCTTAATTATAATAAATTTTTAAATTAATACATAACTATTCGATACTGAAGAAAAAAGTTTGAAATTAAATATTATATTGACGGTTATTTTTCTTTAATCATTTTTTAATAAGACATTATTAAATTTTATAAATTTGCTTTTTAAAATATTTCAGTTTAATTAATTTCTTAATTAGGAGTTATTATTGACAAATCATAGAAGAGATAAGTAATCTGACATTTCTTTTGTATTAGCAACTTGAAAAATGAAAAAGTAAGGCAAGAAAAATAACTGATATTTTAAATTGACTACAAAATTAAAATAAGAAAGCATTCAAGAAAAAAAGTTTAGCTTAATTATGTACAAACATAAATTTTACATTTTCAAAGAAAGAAATCATTTGGTTATAATCAACAGGCTTTATCTACTGGACGTTAACAACTGCAAGAACTGAAGTGATAATATATATTATTCTTCCACCCTTTACAATTTGAGTATTATAATTCAAATATTGGAAGTATTATATTATCTTATTTATAGATTTGATGACTTGGAATTAAATACCCAAAATTTAATATAATTTCAAATTAATAATTTTCGACGTGGTGGTATACTTCAATGAAGGATCAGGCGGTTCTGGTGCAGATTAGAGTGCTATTGTATAACTTATTAATCGCTAGTATACATTAAATTCCATAATTTTCAGATTTTTTCAGACTGTATTAATAGTGTAACTTTTAAATATTTAAATTTTTAGAATTTTTAGAATTATTTTTGAGAAAAACTGATTTCTCTTTAACAAGACTTGAATGTTATACGTTAATTTTGACTAGATTCAAATGTAGATTGTATAATTTGGATATTTAGGCAGTTATACTTTAATTTAAAATACAGAGGAGTGAAGGTTAAAAAAAAATGCAAACATCGTATTGATTTAATCTATAATTGGTAATAATTGTAAAATTTAAAAATTATATTAAATAAAAATAAAAACTTTGGTTAGAAATTAAGGATAATCTGCAATAAATAATTTTATATTTCTAGATCACGACTCTTTTATGATTCAATTCAAATTTGACTATCTTTTAACTCAAATTAGAATTTAGGAGTTGCAAATTAAAATATAATGATTATCGAAGTAAT